AGTATATATATCCATATATATATATATATATATGTATATATATATATTTGCTGCTGCTGCATAACCCTTTGCTGCTGCAGCTTATCAAGCAATTTTGAGCTGCTGCCCGTTAACGAGAGTACCTGGTGTTTATATCGGCCTCTCGTTGATGAAGAAGGTGCTGCTGCTTTGTTAAATTTGTCTGAGAGATGTCTGCTGCATTTAGCTAAAGAATTAAATATTAATGCTATACTTGTTCGCAAGCAAAGAGCTGTTGGACTCGTCCCTACTCAAGACTCTTCCAGCTGTATGCGCACCTCACATGCATGCACTGTATATATATATATATATATATATATTTATTTATTTATTTGTTTATTTGTTTGTTTAATTTAATTAATTAATTAATTTATTTGTTTATTTAGTTAGTTAGTTATTTATTTAGATAGTTATGTTGATGTGCATATACACCTCACATGCATGCATTATATGTGCATTTATATCTCTATCTATTTTTCTGTCTATATATATATATATATACATATTATATATATATATATATATGTATATGTATATATATATATGTATATATATGTATATATATGTATATATATTATATATGTATATATATATATATATACATGTATATATATGTAAATATATGCATATACACCTCAAATAAATACAAAAATTAAACAATTCTATATATGCAAATATATGCGTTATTATGTACAAGTGCATGCATCTGTATGCTTTTGCTGCTGATCCTTTTGCTGCTGCTTGTGCTGTTGCTGCTGTTGCTGCTGTTGCTTCTTCCCTATATCTGTGAATGCTTTTGCTGCTGCTGTCACTGCCTTTGCTGTTGCTGCTGCTGCTGCTGCTGCTGCTGCTGCTGCAGCTGTTTGTTTTGGCTGTGTAGACAACAAGGGTATGCACAGCGAAAGTCTGAAGGAAGGGGTCCTCAGAATACGCAGAGACATACGCAATGCATTTGGTGATTCAAATGCTGCTGCTGCTGCTGCTGTTGCTGCTGTTGCTGTTGCTGCTGCTGCTGCTGCTGCTGCTGCTGTTGCTGCTGCTGTTGTTGTTCCTACTACTATTGCTCTTCCTATTCCTACAACAACAATAACAACAACAGCAACAACAACAAGCCCTACTACTACAACTACTCTTTTTGCTGCAGTTGCTTTTGCTTCTGCTTCTACTGCTGTTGCTCATAGTAGCTGATGCATATATATATATATATATATATGTTAGCAAGCGTATGAAGAGTAGAATATAAGCAAATACTAAGTAAAATATATAAAAATAAATATAGATATTGAGGTGTATGTGCAGGTGCAGACTTTGAAGTACCGTACAGTGTATTCACAGGAGGCTGCGACATCTGGATAGACATCGGTAATAAAGCAGAGGGCGTCGCGATGCTGCAGGGATACTTAAAAATAGTCCCCGCGAACTCTCTGCACATCGGCGATCAGTTTACTCTCCTCGGCAACGATCTTGCTGCTAGGTACTACTGCTATTTGTTTGTTTGTTTATTTATTTGTTTATTTAGTTTATTATTTGTTTATTTAGTTGTTTGTTTATTTTGTTTGTTTGTTCGTTCTGCTGCTGCTGCTGCTGCTCAGGATTTGTTCTCCCACGCTGTGGGTGCGCAACCCTCGAGAGACTGCTGCCGTGTTAGAAGAGCTTCTAAAAGAAGATTAGCAGCAAATAAACAGACTGCAGCAGCAGCAGCAGCAGCAAACAAATAAATAAACAGCAGGGAGAGACAGAGCAGCAGCAGCAGAAGCAGCAGCAGCAGAAGACAAACAACAGAAAAAGGTCATGCGGACAGCAGCAAAAATGAAACAAACAGCAGCAGCATATAAACAGCTGCAGCATGTAAAGCAGCAGCAGCAGCAGCAGCGATAAGCAGACTGCAGCAGTAGACGCACAAAGACAGCAGCAAATAGTAGAGGGGTAGCAGCAATTTACATTTAGAGATAAAACGACAAAAACTAATAAAAACAAACAGCAGCAAACTCAGAACAAACAAAACAAAAAAACAAACGAACGAACAAACAAACATATCTTTTTAGCACAAGCAAATAAAGAAGAGAGGCAAATAAATAAATAAATAAACGGCTTTGAAATAAAAACAAATAAAAAAGAGAGAGAAATAAATAAATAAATAAATAAATAAGAGAGAGCGGTAAATAAGAGAGACAGAGATAAAAACAAATAAAGTAGAGACAGACAGACAAATAAATAAATAAAAACAAATAAATAAATAACTTTGAAATAAAAGCAAATAAAAGAGAGAGATTAAGTAAATAAAGAAGAGAGAGAAATAAATAAATAAATAAATAAATAAATAAAGATAGAGAGAGAAGCAAACAAACAACGAAGATTATCAAATAAATAGACAAAAAAACAAATAAATAAAAAATTTAATAAAGAAGAGAGATAAAATAAATAAATAAATAAACAAGATAATAAAATAAACAAATAAACAAAACAAACAAAGACACAGAGA